CTACGAGTGAGTTGATTGCAAGTGATTATATTCAATATTTTCTCTAAAATGCCCCAAAAGTAAAATTATTAAATTTGGCAAAAGTCTTTGAAGTATATTTCATAATGTATTAAACGCAATTGAATCACATCTCTCCCGAGGGCATCCTTTAATGAACTCAAAACCAGAGCGCGGAGCCGGTGCTACTGAGATTCTGGGGTTCAAACCCAGTCGGCCACTGGTGCAGAGCGTTGAAGGTCTCCGGCTCGACCTCCACAGTCGTACACACGGTGGTTTAGGATTTTGCCTCTTTTATTTCTAATATTTTCAGGGCCTGTGAATGTACGCCACCTCGTGCGGATAGGGGAGCTATTGAAGTGACGTCAGCCATTCTGCGACGTCACCTCACGAGGTGACGTCACAGTGCGGTCCACTGCTCGCTCCAAGTTCCAAACGCGGATCGTCGCCACCTCGTGGCGCAATGCCCGAACATCGCTCGGCGCCCAGTGGGAGTCTTTACACTTTGCCCTCTTTCACAGTAAACCTAAACAAAGTCACGTTTATATCTTGAACTCTGAGCTGTAATATTCATAAAAAGCCACATTGGTCAATAACACTGCCCTGAAAATGAAATGTGTATGTAATATATGCTGGAGTAATAAAGTGTTAAAGAGCTGCGGTTTTGGGCCGTGAGCTTTCTCTGCTGCGAATGTCCTTCTGCATTTTTGGGAATGTCTTATTTTATACCTACTATAGTCACCCAGGAATGTCTGTTCTTAACGCTCGTGACGTCACTCCACATCGACCAGCCCCCCTCATTAATAATCATGGGCAGGCGACGTCCTCCAAATGGACCACCCCTCCTCATTAATAATCATGAGCGGGTGACATCACTCAATATGGAGAACTCCCCCCTCACTAATAATCATGCGCAAGTGACGTCACTCCACATCGAACAGCCCCCCGCATTAATATTCATGAGCAGGTGATGTCCTCCAAATGGACACCCCCTCAATTATTACCAACTAGAATGAGCCAAGATTCTCTGTGTGCAACGCTCGTGACGTTATTTTCTTTGAACCATATACGTGACTTTACCGAAACACCCAAGGAATATGAATTCCTGCAGTCACGAAAGCTTTATGTCAAGATTTAATAATTTCATCATTATAAGGCGCCTCCTCCCCCCTCCTCAGCGTCAACTTACAACCCTCACTACAAAGGCAGAACCCTCACGTCACGCCATCTCCGTAACGCTGTTGAGACATAGAAGTAAAAAGGACGTCATGATGAACAAGGGATTAGAACCTTAAAATGAAATAGGTCTGTGTCACCGCGCCCTTACAAATTGCACACGCATTGAAGCAATGAATATCACGTCACGGTCTGATTTTCGCTTGCAAGTTTCAGATTTGGATGGGCAAAAGGCTAGTTTATAAGAATATCGTGCCACAGACTACTCTTCAACACGTTTCAATATTTCCCAAAATATCTTTCATTTACTATGCATGGGCATTTTTCTGTATCTGACACTCAAGCGCTGCCGAGCGGTGGTGAAGTTGTTCTGACAGGCCGTGTCGTCTGTCACATTTACCATGGACAGAGCGCGGCATTTACCATGGACAGAGTCCGGCATTTACCATGGACAGGGTCCTGGCATTTACCATGGACAGGGTCCTGCAAGGGAAACTTGACCTCGACCCGAGCGGTGCCCCCGCTCTGCTGAATGGGCCTTTTGAAAATCGCTTTAAACTCGCCAAGTCGCCACGTCCACTTCTACGGAGTGTGCTCTCCCCGGGGTCGGTCTGGAGCCATCTCGTGCACCCAGTCCCAACGAATCCGACGCAATCATCCTGAGCCGCTCCAACCGATCCTACTCTCTTCTATGTCGGATTCATATAGCGGCCTTTCCAGAGCCCCCCCCCCCCCCCGTGAGGTTTGCTGTTTGGACGTTCAACGCGGAGTTTGAATTTGTTGCACTGGAACCCGTTTGCTTCGACGATGTTGCACTCTGAGTTTAGGAGAGCAGGAATTTGATGGCCTTTGCAAACCACTTTAAAAGAGAAGAGCATAAATGCGAGGGTACTTTCGAGCAGCACCGCTATCTGTATCGCTGAATGGATCAGAGAACCGGACCCCGACTAAGCAGCTCAGGGAGACGTTGTCGAGAGGGATGCGAGGATCTTTGTGGCAAGCCAGGATAAACAATGCACACGTGGCAGGTGACAGTTGTAGATGCGATTGGGCAAAAACGGCTGTGCGGTGTGGGCCAATGAGCACGGTTGGCTACGTACGGTGCTAAAGAAGGTTAACATTAATGCACAGGTGGGTGTGTGCAGGATAGGGGAGGGCGGATTACCGAGACACCCATTGCAGTGGTCTGCATGAGTCCGGCGACCAAGGGGAAGAGAAGACCTGGGAGCAGACTGGGGGACACTGAGGGCAGACCTCGTGGGTAAAACCTGATTGCTGTTATGAAGCATGCATTCTCTCCCAAGTCTCCCTTTAAATAAATAAAAACTCCAGGTCTCAGAGGGCTCTTAACCGATATAAATCGTCGATTCGTCTCGTGTTGTGTTGACTGCTTTTGACTTTGCTGCAGTATGTCACGTGAGAATTTATATTTTTAATCTTCAGTTCGCATTTTTATATTTTCCCATGATATCTAGATTGTTGTACTTTTCTTACAAGCAGAAACTAAGATTCGCCACCCTTTCCACTACAGACCAAACCCGGATATTTCTCAGTCATCCAAAGTCCCTCCACACTGTGCCGTATCCTATCGTAAAATTCAGCACAATAACGGTACCAGATCTCAGTAAAAATCTATTCCTGCCACCCTACAACAGATGCCAATTGCCGGACTGTCTGGCCCAATCCCGGGCAGCTGGCAATCCGAGCCTGGTGGGCTTTAATACCAGGCTGAAATCATTGGTGCAAGATGTGAATCCGTACCCTTTCACAATTTCCTACACGTGAACACATTGCACCGATCATCAAACCGCTCCACCTGCTCCGTGTGATAGGTGGCTGAAGAGACCCGGGGTATACAGAGGCAGAGTTCGTGTTGACACGAGGCTGACAGCGCAGAGGTATTCTGCACACCGAGCATTGTGCACGGAGCGGCATCCAAATTTGATTTAAGCCAAAACGTATTCAGACATCGTTTTCATTTAAAGAGAAAAGTTATGGACTAGAAAAGAAAACAAGTGTGCAGTGCAAATTGGTAGTCTTAGGTATTTTAAACATCGCACGTTAACATCGACGCGTGAACGTCGACGCATTAACATCGACGCGTGAACATCAACGTGCTACAATCGGCCTGGTCCAGCGGCGAGGGCCGACGTGGCACTGCGCTCGGCGTGGTCGCGGAGCGCACAGCCGCTCACCACGTGTCGGAACGAGCGCCCTGGAGCGCTGCGCGAGCAACGTCTCGGCCACGACTTCATTTGCCGGAGCTCTACCAAAGTGCTCCCGTCAAGCGCAGATGAAGTAGCCGCACGCTGCATGCGCCTGATGATTGAGCGCGCCGGGGTTGTGAGAGCCCCGACGCGCCGACACAGAACCCCGCCTGTCGGGGTGGGGGGCACGCCGCGTGCACCGTCGATAAGCACGGTTGGCTATGTACTGTGCGAAAGAAGTTCAACGTACATACAGGTCACAAACCGTGTCATCTGCCCTCGTAACAGGATTTGTGCTCGGGATGCGGTCTTGGCCAAAGCCGCGATGCCACCACCGCACCGCCAACGCTTTCTCCCCTGCCTCAGCTCCTGCAGCTGCTGCAGAGCAGCGCCCTCCACGAACTGCCCTGACGGTCTCCACCGCCACGGCCTGAGGTCCTCCTCACTTCGCGTTGGTTGCTGGACCCGTGGAGACCGCTCCCGGCTCTCCCCCGTCGTCCCCACACGCGCGCAACTTTCCTAATTCGTGTCCACAACACTCCTCTGCTGCCACCTTCTCTTCCGGACGTGTGCCTCACTCGTTCCTGTCTCGCTGTGGACCGAACAATACCTGTGGTCACGTGCGCGTGTGATTACACACCGGGCCCGCACTGCCACGTGTCACCATTCATGGCCGAGTTTCGTTCCTGCGCCCATCAGATGGGGCCCGCGTGGGTTTGTACCCAAATGACGTGACACGCTAATGGGGAATTTATGTTAATAGGCGAACACAAATATGACGGGTACAGACGAGAGTGAATGTTTAAATGCCTGATACACTACACACACACAGAACAAGCATGCACAGACACCCGTCAATGTACATACACTGGTCACGCAAGTCGACCCGACCTGGATGTATGCGCCCACACACACACACACGTGTCTACACACACACACACACGTCTCTCCACACACACACACACACACGTGTCTGTCCACACACACGTGTCTGTCCACACACACGTGTCTGTCCACACACACACGTGTCTACACACACACACGTGTCTACACACACACACGTGTCTGTCCACACACACGTGTCTGTCCACACACACGTGTCTACACACACACACGTGTCTACACACACACACACACGTGTCTACACACACACACGTGTCTGCTCGTGCGTGTCTGTCTGCACACGCACACACGTGTCAAAACACACACACACACGTGTCAACACACACATACACGTGTACAATGCCCTCTCCGTGCACACACTATACCCCCCCCCCCGTGTATATCCTTTAACAGACTATCGGGGCAAGTGCCGTTAGCGAGCATCTATTGAGGCCGATACGGCACACAAGGGGGTGACCAGCACCACGCAAGACCGCCTTTGTCTTCCCGGTGCCGATGTTTACACATCGTACCAGGTAGTCATTGCTAATGCCGAGTCGACATAGGGGAGGCCCAGAATCGGTTCAGATATTGGTCACTGACTATTGGCCGCCGTGTTCGTAGCCCAGTGCGCTAAGCACTACACTGCCGCTCCCCAATGCCCACGAAGACACTCATCCGACGTATCGCCCTTGGGACGAGTGTTGTTAGCGAGCCCCCCCCCCCCCCCCGGCTCACCGTGGCGCAGGGCAGCGCGGCGAGGACGGGGTAGAGGATGGCGGGGGGCACGGCCCCCCGAGCCTCGGGGCCCGGGTCCGGGGCCGCCAGGGCGCGCTCCCAGCAGAAGAAGCCGCGCTGCGTCACGGGGAACGTGTCGGAGCACTCGAGGTGGTAGGCGAGCAGCACCGTGCCAGCGCCCAGCACCAGCTGCACGTACAGCATGCTGCCTCGCACCGCCCGCCCTGCCGCACTCCCCGCTCGCTTGGCTCACTCCACCAGCCGAGACTGCAGTCTCATACACCCACCACCACCACTGCTCTAGCCCGCCCGACTCCTACAGCCTCCCTGCCCAATACAGCAGCAGCAGCAGCCTGCCCTGCTGAAACAGCAGCATCAAGCGCGCACGCCGACGCGCCGGCGGGTATGAGGGTAGTGATGGTGGTGATGGTGAATCTGGTGACGGGGGTGATGGTGGTGATGGTGGGGGAGTAGTGATGGTGATGCCGTGTGCGCTGCCTGTTCGCTTTGTCCTCTCGTCCTCCTTATCGCAGTGATGCACTCCCCGCCCCGTGTCGTGTCGCCTCTCCATATGAACCTTTCATGGTCCCCTGCTCAGCCTCCTCCCCTCCCTGATCTGTCGCCGCCCCTCACAGATCTCACCGACGAACGCGTCAATGAATGTTTTCTAGATTGTCCCCTTCCTCGTCTCCTGCTCTTTTTCCCGGCTCTTTGTCTCCTCGTCTCTAAGCCTCTGGTTGGCCCCGTCTCGGCTCGCGAGCTGCCCGGCGCGCTCTCTGCTGCATGGATCCGTGATCTATTGTCGAATAAAAAATGACCCGAGGAGGAGGAGGCTCCTGCTGCTGACGCGTGGAGTTCAGCTGCCCCAGTCACTGCAGGCGCCGTGAGCGGTCGTGACGACGCCTACAATTCTTACATTCTCTCCTGCCAGGGTGAGGCAATGCTCATTTAACATTTGCAATTTCAAAAATAAAACCCCTACATCAATTCCTCATTCAATGTAAAGCTCAGAATAGGGCGACTCGGCGTCAAGAGAAGGCCTCAAGTCACTGGTGCAGAAGGCTTGAAGAGACGAGTGCAGAGAGATGGGAAGGGAGAGCCATGCAGCGACGATTCCATAGAAGATCGTGATGATTATACCATCAATCAGATTGATGGGCTCATGTGGTTCTCATTAATGGATGTGAGGATGAAATCTTGTGGCATCATTGTGGCTCATTTGAAATATTTTGAGAGGGATAGGGGAAGATGGTAGAATAGAGAGAGTGATATTGGTCAAGGCGAAATGTGAGGTTAATGAGGTGGTGGATACGGTCGGCATTGAAGATTTGGGGGACAAGATGACAGCTATGGACACAATATTCACATGGAATTTGTAGTATATCATTAAAAGCTGATGCATCTTAAAGTTATTTTGAGTTACGTCCAGACCACATTATCCTTGCGACAGTGTGGTCTGTGATTTAATTGGCTTCTCTGTGGCTAAGGCTCTTAATTTTTTGCTGCTGGATTGCCCCCAAATTGGATTGTCTTTGAACCATTTGAGCCGTGAATCATTTGATTATCTGCGGATAAAACAGCCGTCAATCACCAATGTTATCGAGTTAAGACTGTTAAAAGCTCGTAATTTGTAACAGTCTCTGGAGCGAATTATAATCACACAACCATGCATCCACAGGGAGTTTCCTGACAGAGATGATCAATTGAAAATGTTTCTTATTTTCGCCACCACGTGAATTCCCAACCAGGGTTCCTTCGCTGTCTACCTTTCGTTTCTAACTGCAATGTTGCCAGCGGATACACGGAGATTCTCAACTGCCATCCCCTCTCCTCTTTGGCTCCTACGGTCCCTTTATGTTGCAGCAGCTGAGCCAATTACCCAGCGCACATCCTTGGTAACAATTGCCCGCTGCCACCAATCAAGTGAGCTTTGCTATTATTGAACCATCACCCAACCCGAATGGATGCACCTGCGTCCAGTCGATTTCAGAGGACAGGCGCCTCTCACGTCTCTAGCGCACGGACCAGTGATGCTGTGGCACCACGCACAGCACGTAGCGGGTGCCCCACATTAGCCGTGGGTATAGGATTCATTAGGTCTAAAGTTGACAAATGATTTAACTTGTCTTGTTGTCTGTTTATATTATTTCAAATCTTTGACGCTTAATAGCTTCCAATCTACGTAGCCCAACGAGCTGAAATTTCCGACGCAGACTCGTATCGCGTGACAATTCAAGATTTCATTAAAAAAAAACGGTTCAGGTCCCGCTGATCCAGCGAATCTTCGTGTTTTTACATCGTCTTTATAATCGGTATGCAGCAAAAAGGCACTTGATGAGATTAATCGACTAAGATAATTGATCAACTTTCGTGAAGGAGAGTAATCCTTTTAAAATGCTTTGAAACAGTTTTGATACTATTGCTCGATCTGGATAAGGAAACCTCAAATTTACAGAAAAGTAATAAGTATGTTTTCAAAGCGAATACATACTTTACATATTTAGCCTATTTCATGTATTTGATTAAAACATTTTGGGAGATAGAAATCGTCAAAGTATTGAAAGCAAATATTAATACTAAAAATTATTTTTATATAAATTAAAAACTAGTCCTTGAATGCACACACTTTTATTTGCACTCAAAAATAGAAAATACATTATTTTGACCCCAGAATGAATCAAATTTGATGTGCTTAAAAGCTAGTTTGTATCCAAATGTTTGTGATTTGACTTCTACATAGTAATAGTCTGCTGTGATATTACCTGCACACCCATATTTACTGTTCACTGCCCGGGCCACCTTGCATTTGAGACTGTGAGTTAAACAAAATCCACTTAACTTCACCAAGTATCCAGTGGTGCTTGTCTTGGTTGGTGGCATACTTCTGCTGTTGACTGCTACGGCAGCTGGTGATAGTGGTGGTTTATCTGCCATTGCTGATCATGTATCTACAGCTGCTTCTGCAAATGTTGTATTGACTGGCTGCTGCTGTTCTGCCTGCCGGCTTTTGGGCTGTGGAGGTGAAACATTACATCAGTTAATGCATTAATTTCCATTCTTAAGCACACAGTGAACACGTACGGCCCGTTTGTCAATCCACTACTGGACGAGGACCTCCCCACGCAGTGCGGTTCACGGGTGTTATTTGATCATATTTCACACAGCACGGAGGGTAAATGCGGGTGAGTGAAATTGGGGACCATAGGCGTGGGATCATAGTACAGTACAAGAACACATTCCTCTGCTGCCCACTGCGTAGCCTCTCGGCAACCTTCAACACATTCTTTACGCTTGGAGATCGCCCATCCAAGCTCAATCCAGCTTCAACCCTGCTTTACCTTCGAGATATGATGAGACGGTGCACAGTAATTTGGTCATAGACTCACAATGCGTACATCACATCTCACATGTCAGAATCAATGCTTATTCATTGATATATTCCATATGTGATGGGATCACGTCACTATTGTAGCCACAACATGAATCCGTTCGTGAATCGCGACCGGCAGTCGATTTTATCTATTAAAGCCGAGTGGCGGTTGGCGCCGCACGCCTGTCAGCGCTGTGGAGGCTAGCCAGGGTTGGTGGATCACACACATCTTGTGAACCTCCTTTGGCCACTGTGATTTTTTTTATCAGTTGTCCAACTGCGCCAGAATTGACCATTAATTGGAGTGTTGTACTGTGGCCAGCAGCACTCCGTTTACAAGAGCCCTGGGGTTATGTGCGGGCACCACACGGGGCTTGCGGTTGCCCGGGATCTGCGTGGACAGAGAGGCTCGGTGTATCCCGCGAGGGGCAGCCTCCCTGTCACGTGCATTCAGATCATTCTAAATGGGGTGTAGATGGGGTCGCTGGGGAGATGGGCGGAGTTTGATGGATGCGCTCGCTGCCCAGGAAAATTATTAAGCATCGTTTAAACAGAGCTTGCGTGCTCAGTACAACTATTGTGATAGACGCAGCCTGATAGAGTCTACCAGACCCGGTCACGCGACTCGGCCGCAGAGCGAGCGACTCGCGATCGCAAGGTTGCGAGCTCAAATCTTGGTTGGGGAGTTGACTCAGCACATCATCCCTCTTGGGTTGATAAAACGAGTACCACTTTGTACAGAACTCAGCAGTGGTTGTCCTATGGATCTAATTGCCACGACCAGATTAATGTGGAATTTCAACCAGATTAAACAATGGCCAAGTTTCTTAAACCCATTCCGCCTCTGTGAAGCCAGGCAATATAAGCGGGTGCACTATAGTTGATCGGTAGGCCGTGTGTGATGGGGTAAAGTGCGGGTACCCCGACCTCTTGCAACCCATCTGGTCAGCCTAAAAGGGCCATATAAAATACATAGTGGAGCTCACTATCGCGTCCTCTAGTGGAGGCCCTGCCGCCAGTAGTGGCGTGAGCAAGCAATTGCAGGGCAGCCCCTGTACCGTTCATAATTGTTGTATAATTGCCCATCCACGACTGCACTGCATGCCTAGTTGTGCGCAAGTCCCTTACCCAGCCGTCGAGTCAGATATGAAATGATGCATGCATTTGTAGTGAGTTCCACGGAGGCTCACACTTGAACGTGGATGCAACACGTTTATTACAACACCTCAACAGGATAACTACAAAAACGTACACTAGATAACTGGACCCCAACAGGGTAACTACATAAAGGGGTCAGGTCAGCAACACACTGCCTGATCCACGATGCCGAGCGTAACGACCGAAGACCGAAGAGACGGAGCCCCGAGAGTTCCATTCCAGCAGACAGCCGCGATCGCTCTCGGGACTTCCCTTTTATGCTCCCGAACGTGGCCTCGCTCCGCCTTCGGCCACGCCCCTTTCTGGCTCTTACCAGAAGGTTCTCGACTGAGCACCACGTGTCCCTCGAGCCACTTTTTGGGCCCCCTCGCTACCCTGTCCCGGTCACGTGCCCTCCAGACAGTGAATCATAAGATAATAAGTTGTACATCATTAGACCTCCTTTGCCAGTACCAAAATGTAATAATAGGGTTTTTCCCCTTTTTTATGGCAACAAAACTGAAACCTTTTTACAAGGATTCATCTCTGCATTAACCACAATACCTGCAGTCAAAATGCAAACAAAAAACATACTATGATAAGAAAGCCGTCCCTTGGTGTGGACCAATCAGTTTCAAGGACAATACATATATTATCATAGTATGTTTTTTGTTTGAATTTTTACTGCAGGTATTGTGGTTAATGCAGACATGAATCCTTGTAAAAAGGTTTCAGTTTTGTTGCCAGAAAAAAGGGGAAAAACCCTATTATTAGAATAAGTTGTGTTCAATAACTGATTAACACAATTGTAAATTAATGTACTTTATTTCACCCAGAGTGTCACGTCCTTTCTTGCCCTTTCTCTGACCGCCACCAGAACCATGTCCCCTAGGGCCCGCTTGCATGTCCTACCTACTCTGATGCCAGAGAGAGGCTCAAGACGCTCAGTTCCACTCTTGTGACAGTAGCTGGCGCTAAACACCAAAGTGACTATTTATGTCACTACACATTGAAAACAATATCAGAGTGCACATAAGAGATGTATAATTCAAGAAAAAGAATATCATGCATATGCATGGCTTCTGAAATGCTTTCCAACAAACATTTGTGCTCAAATATATTCAAAAGAAAATTTTATGTGAATACATATTACTTGCCATGACATATTTTAAACATACAGACATTTACAACGACATTGAGAGTGCAACGAACAGGTATACACGGCAGCATGGAGGGGGTGAACACTCGGAGTGACATCGCGAGACAGAAATAGGGACACGTAAATTAAGTATGTTAATCGACGTGCAGCAGTGGCAAGAGAAAAACGTAGATGACAAAATCACACAGAGAGATGCAGAAAGAGGGAGACATTGATGGCGCAACAAAGACAAACAGGGAGAAGGTATTGGTCCTCATCCAGATTGGATAGATCATGGCTGGTGATGGCGATTGTGGTGAAGAGTGACCTGGGCCGAGCAGAGCCTGGCCCTGGTCCCCTTGCTCCGGGAGGTGTGAAGAGGCAGGCAGGGAACCCAGTTGAGGCAGGCCTAGCCCAGGGCCACTACGCCTCACCTGAATTTGTATTTTAAAATAATCAGTTCATGATGAACAATATTATTTCAGACTGAATGAGAAGACGTGAAATGTGTTTATATTTTTATGCAATAATTGTAAACATACATGCAATTGATGTGTTCACACAGCCTGGTTACCAATGACTGTCGGGCTGATACCATTAACATTATCACGTAAGTTTTAGTTTTGCACATGATTTTTACTACATTCCAACTCTGGTAATTTAAATATTGATTTGACTGCCATACGCCCAATATTACTCTCACTTGCCAGAGCTTGTGGGAGAGTGCAGCCATCTACACTGTTGACTTAGGCACTTAAGTGGACACGAGGTAACTCTGATTCACTCTGCCATGTTCGTTAACACGAAGGGTTGCACTCTTCTGCACGATTTCACAATGGATATTTATTTTCGTGACATGATGCAACAGCACAATCGAGATAACATGGGGAGAAAACTGCCATGTGTTTTTTTAAAGGAGTATAGAATGAGTTGAGAGTGATTGTAAAGACGTCTTTGTGAAAGAGGCGTAATTTGTGGTGACATATGACATCACGACTATGCTGGCCTTTGTCACCTGGAATGTCTCCGTTGTGTCTCCAGGGCGCTATGGCTCTGGCCCACAATAAACCTGGCCATGCATAAAGGGGAGCCTTTGTACGTTTTCAAACACCAGCCTGATTTTGAAGAATCGCAGTTGTCACGGTCACTGTGTGGATGGTGAGCACGTGTTCATTACCAACTTGATGAGCCTGGGACTAATCCGGACTGAGAAAGAAGCCAGGTCATAGCAACCGAGCCAGAGCTCAATCGCGTCCAGTCTACTTGTGATGCTTACCATTGCACATGCTGAAGTTACCATATGTATATAATTTTCGGTCAAATTTGAGTACCAAATATAACCATATCTGTTATTGGTTGAGTTGATGTTGCTTGGCCAACACTTGTCTTATTTGAACCAACAATAGTGACATGCGTTTAAACGTTGCTAATTGAGCCGACAATAGCCAATCGTACGTACAGAATATGAACGCTGAGAGAATGGAACACACGCAGTTGCATCGCGACAGCAGATATCGCCTCTGCCTGGGCAATGGCAGCAGCGGTCACGACATCGCCGCACCGCGCGCGCCTGCTGACCGACAGGGTGGTGCCCTCGGCTCTCCGTGGCGACGGAGCGAGGTGGTTGATGGTGGTGGTGAGTGCAGAGAGGAGACTCGAGGTGGAGGAAGTCACGGGCCCACCATGGCCAGCTCGCTGGGTGAGCCAGGCGGGGGCGCACTCCCACCAACAGTCATCGTCGCCTTTGTGGCTGCTGGTTGTCGGGGGAGCGGTGGCGCAGTGATTAGCGCGCTGCGTCACGAAGCCGGCAATCCGAGTTCAATTCCTGCTCACCACCAATAAGTGGCGAATGCTTGACCCGGTCTTGGGCTTCCTCGTCCCAGGCTTAAAATGAGTATCTGGTACGATGTGTAATTATCGTGTGCCGTTCCGGCCATCATAGGTGCTCGCTTACAGCACTTGCCCAAACGGTCTGTTAAGGCTGTACGGGGGATCTTTGGTGAGTGGTTATTGTTGCTACCTTTTCCAGTTTAACGCAATAAAATCACCACATCTCGGTACAAATCAATTCCTGCCACGCTGACACAGATCTCAATTCCCGGACCGTCCGGGCAAACCCCGAACAGGTGGCAAGCTCAGGGGAGGCGCTGGTGTTTGTGGTGCTGGTTGCCACTGGTACATGGATGGACCTCCGCACGCCTTGCAGACCGTGGGGATTATGACCATACTTCACCACGCTGGTAAGTGCGGGTAGATTTTGACTGGGAGCAGCATAGAAGTGCAGCGCAACAGTGGATTGTGCGGCAATGCCCTATCCTGCCCACAACCCAGTGCAGTCAGGGCAGGCGATTGCTGGGTTTGTAATTTGTGGTGTGTTTGTACACGTGGTATGCTGTGATATTCGTGGTGTGTACACGTGTGTTTGTCTTTGTTATTGGTGGTGGTATTATTGGCCGTGGTGTTGTTGGTGATATTGTTGCTGGTGGTGGTATTGTTGGTTCTGGTGGTGGTATTGTTGTGGCTGGTTGTGGGTTTGTTGTTGCTGGTGGTGGTATTGTGATTGGCGTTGGGTGGGGGTGGTGGTGTAGTAGCTGGCCGTGAGCACCGCCCCCGTCGCGACACCTCGTGAATAATAAACGAGGGGCGCAGAGCGAACGGCTCCGCGCGGCTGCTACACGCGAGGAGGAGACGGCGCAGCACTCCCCGCGCCGTCCGTCAACCCGAGCGGCGTGTCCCCCCGTGCAGGGCGGAGAGGAGGAGAGAACCCCTTGGCCGCGTGCCGAGTCTCGTCCCTCTGTGGCCATTGCAGCTTCTTCCGCCACTGCGCCCGGCAGCCTCCTCCATCCAGCGTCTCCGAGGAGGTGAGCGCCCCTCTCGCGTACGTGTTGCAGAGACCGCGGAATCGTCACGACAGGGACGTCGTCAGCCATTCCTTCACCCCTCCCCCACACACATTATTCATTCCTTCATCAGCTTGCCTCTCCACACAGACACACATACCGTCATTCATGTATTCCTTCATTCAGGCACCCCCCTCTACCTCCCACACATCCTGCCATCCCTTCACACAGCCATATATTCCTTCAAACAATAAATGTATTCCTTGATCTAGACACCATCTCCATCCTCCACAACCTATAATTTATTCATTCGTTTCGCCACCCTCTCCGTCCACCATCATTCATTCATTCTCCATACATTCCTTCACCCAGCCACTCTCATCATCCAAACAAAACCCTCATTCATTCAGCCAGCCATTCCTCCACCCAGACACCCTCTCCATCTCACACACCCCGTCATCCCCATTCATCCAGCCATGCATCCCTTGCTGGGTCCACCAGTTACCCTGGTATCGGATAGGAATCGCTGCTATTCTCTTCATTTCTTCATTAATACATTGCTTAATTAATTCATTAATTCGCGACATCGCTCATCCATTCTGCACGCATTGCATTGTTGCGTGGCCTTAACATCCGCATGTCGCGATGATCGTGGCTATGCCTCTGACTACAATCCACGTGCGGACTGCCAGTGCTGCCATTGCCACCCTCCAGGCACGTGAAGGGGGCATGCGATGTTTCGATTAATCGTTTCCCGTTCGTCCATAAGACTTGTGACACATGCATCTTATTCGTGTGTGCAGTCGAAGTTTCCGTCTATTCATGTACATTTTATGCAAATGTGATGCTGATGCGACGACGTTACAAGCAGACGAGTGGAGCAAGCGAAGGAAGCTCCAAAGCGAGGCGGAGGAACGAGACGAGCCTCGTGGAGTGGTGGCTGCGCGTGAGGGCATCGCTCCTCCTTCGTATTCCCGTAGCAGCACCACCACCCACAATCACCAACAATCACCACCACAATCACTGCATCCATCACAACCACCACCACCATATCCACGACAACCATCGCAGCTTCCACCGTGGTGTGTACGCGTGCTCTCTCTGCATTAGGCTCGTTACAGTAATTGGCGGGATGCAAATTGGAGGTTAGTTAATGTTTTTATTTTTTTCTGGGCAGCTGCCGTCGCGCGTGTAGTGGTGGTGGTAATTATTGTCCGCCTGTACGATGTGCCGTGCGTGTTTGATGTGCGTGATGTGTGTGTGTGATGTGTGTCTGATGCCCTGACTGCCCGTTGCCTTGGCGATCTGAGTGGGCACACACGCATGGGTACCGAGGGGACTCGGACACTCCGACAGTGGATGTCCTCGACCACACATTAGCATCGCACAGGCCACTCTCTCGTTCGGCACAGGCGAGAGGGCGCTTCCACTCTCTCGCCTGTGCCGGACGGAGCCACGTGCACCCCTAATTGTGACCTCGCTGCAAAGACGCTGCTCCAAACGGTGCTGCGTGTTTATCGCGGAGAAATACAGACTGCGTATCTACTGTACGGTGTACACGTTTTGTGTATTATCTAAAAGAGAAGTGACAGTCATAGACAGAGAAGGGATCATGTCTCGAACCTGGACTTAAACAGCGGCAGGGAGTCAACGGCACGGAGCGCTGGGGGGAGGAAGTTTCAGACTATGAGGTCATCACACTCAGCCAAGGTTGACTTGGGGCATCTATTGGAAGAAGTCAGATTGGTCGAGGGGTGAGCACGGGGAGGAGAGTGAGATGAGAGGGTAGAGGTATGAGAGTGCATGCAAGGGAGTAACGTGAGATGAGAGAGCAGAGGTAGGAGAGGCTTTTCCATGGAGGATCTTGAAGAAAACAATGCCAGTCTTCTCGTTGATCTGGAATGAGATATGGAGCCGGCGGATGGATCGGAGTATTGGGGACATGTGGTCTCATTTCTGGGTGTGGGTGAAGGGTCCGACAGTGGCACTGTGGATCATCTTGAGATTGGCGGTGCGGGATTATGAGACCGTAGACAGTCGTGGTAGCTAGGTTGGCATGGTGATGGAGAAGTTACGAGAAATAAATATATTTTTCCCCATTATTTTTTCCATGATTCATTAAAATGGCCACATCAGATTCTGTCTAAATATCAACAAAGTTCCCTTCACGAAAAAAAGGTCTCGCGACAAAAGCGGCTCGCGTTCTCGCTGTCCGTGTCCGTGCGCACAGCGCGTGGATCAGTGGACACTCTCTCGCGGGTTGATGTCTGAAAGTGGCCGAGTTAAATTCGTTGTTTCGAAATGTGTCCAATACAATTGTATCGTGTTGCCAGTGCCGCTGATAAAAGTGACACCATTACTTTCTACTTTCGTATCACAACTTTTCGGTGAGTGCTGACATGTCTGATTGAAGCCGAGTTCCCAGTGGCCCGTGTCACAAACCCGAATGTGGGACTGAGCCCACAAAATTGGCGGGGACTCTTCCCCGCACTACGCTCACGTGACCGCGCTATAAGTGGCCGCCGAGCGTTAAAACTCGACGGCATAAATATAAGGTCTGCTGGAAATTTACGATCCTCCCTGGTTTATGTGCTGAAAATATTTATTGAGTGGTGTTTTACATTACAGGGAAACATTTCGTACTTATTTGAATAGCTATTGTTTTTCCATAGCCCAAGGAGAGTGGCATTAGTGTAGCAACTCTTCTCACGAGGGTTCTTGCGGCAAGGCCATGCCCCGACTCCTCGGAGTCTTGGCCGGGTTCGCATTATTCTTGTCTCTTGTCAGATGCCCGGTGTCTAAACCCTCGCGCGAGAGACGTTGAATTATAATACCCGTCTTAGGGATCATAAAACGCTGATTCACGATAGTCGTATTCATTATTTAACTCCCCTACACTCTTGGCAATAGTCACTGGGCACTACCGCCGTAAAAAGATACGTCGGAGAAATTGATTCTCCTCCGCTTACGCGGTGCATTTCAATAAGGAACTCACCTGGCTGTGTACCCTGCTGAGCAGCGTGTGGGAGTTGGACTTGCACCGTCGCCTGCGTCATTGCACGGGGGGCTGTGACGTCAGCCATGCTGCGGTGGACGCAGCCGTGCCCAGAGCGTCTGGGTGGCAACTGCTGAATTGTGCTCTGGCGACTGAGATCTCCCTTACAAGAATAAACTGGAATCATGGATTCCTGCACGGTGAAATAAAGTACATTAATTTACAATTGTGTTAATCAGTTATTGAACACAACTTATTCTATTATGATTCACTGTCTGGTTTGTTTTCCTGGTGATATTGTGACAAGTGACCACTGTTTACATTTGTGTCTTTGATGAGTTCGTTTTTATGTACTATGAAGAAGGGCCATTTCCTGAAACGTGACCGATCATTTCGTTTTCATTTTCAGGCCACAGTGTTATTAACGAATGTCTTGAGTTTATTTTTGTTTGCGCACCGCTGCCAACGAAGTAACGGCACCATGTTACTTAGCTTAGGGACTTTATATTCGCTAAATACACAATCAACTTGTTTAAGCACGTGTTGCACCTTGTTGCAATAAAACGTCTTTACGAGGCGTTTAGTCCACGGAGCTGCGTGGCTCTCAAAGCATTGGGACAAGAAATGAGCCGCGCTGGGCTCTTCATGCAGTGGCCAAGCACGGCCCGGGTCTGGCTTCCAGTGGTAGTGGAAACGCAGCAAAATACATTGAGGGCCTGGGGCGCGGTGCAGTTGGTAGTACAGTACAGTAATTGGGCTCCACGTGGGGGAGGGGGTGAGGAGGGAGAGAGGGAGCGAGGTGGTGGCAGTGATTGTTGCCGGAGCCCCAAGGGCCCCGAGCCCTCACCCTGAAGTGACCGGCGTCTGCTCGTTAGGCACGTAACGATGCGTCGAGTCATCGATTCAAATTGATTCTTCTCGCGCACGCCACGAATTGTGCTCTTCGCAGACGAATTATTCACACTTTATGCGTTTTATTTTCAAACGGTCAGACAATCACATAAATACAAAAAATTGACTTTTACTTTTCTTAATCCACGCGGTTAAATTGCGTGATAGCGCATGATTTGATGAACTTCTCATGGTCTCGTGATACTACTGATCGGACCAATCAGATATCTCCAGCCAATTTGATTGTTACATACTTGGATGCAGTCCCAATAAGGCAGCGGTCCTGCATGCACCCTGGGAAGATTTCCAGTGGCCGCGTTCCGCGCTGCTCATCGCAACTCTCTCCCAGGTCTCGCGACGCGCACGGCCGACTGGGTTCGGACCGGGTTCACCGTGGTGGCTCAAGTCAGTGAGATAGCAAGCAGGGGATGGGGGAGAGATGTCTCATCTCGACTTTCGAAGCTTGCTAAGATTCCTCTTGTTTTTTTTTTTATCTTCGTGCTGAAGATAGCTTTTCGCTCACGCTGCATGTTGCGCATGTCAGCAATGTTAAATTTTCAGTTTTATACGGTGCAGTATTAATAACATGACGTTAATTATACAATATTTATGTGAATAGCCTGTGACCAAACCGCTCGGAATGTACCTAATACCGTCTGATCTGGGAAGCTAAGCAGGGCTGCGCCTGGATTGTGCTTGGATGGGTGACCACCATGCATGCACCCACAGGTTGCCATAGGGCTGCGGCTGCATCCGTTGTTGCACTGAACTTCTATGCACCCACAAATCCAGATTCCCCACAATCCGTGACCAGTGTTGCCCAGCACGATGAAGCATGGCCAACGACCCACAGCAGTGAATTGACAATGTTCAGACATCGCCATCATTTCGACCCCTCCCCCACCCCCCCATAGCCTCCCCCCCCCCCGTCGCCTGCCCCCAGGGTACGCGCGCCCAGCTGTGAAGCTCGCAACCCCTCACCCACCCAGCCACTGCTGAGGTGGCGATTATTTCATTTCGTGGTTAAATTAACTCGTTTAGATCGGCGCCGTGTCGCCTCGAGGATGGCTGGTTTAAAACAGGATTCTTAAGGACATTTTTTTAAAAGGTACAGCGACAGATCGCGCCTAAATTGCAAGAAAAACACGCGTGACAAAGCCTCCGTCTGGATATATTTTTTTATTTCACAAAAAATGACGTGTGCAAAGCAGTGACGTTTAGCATGATCTTGATCATGATTTTAACAAAGCCGTTCTGAAATGTTACGTAAAAGTGAATACATATGTTGAAGGAAAGCCTGCAGGGCAGTCGTGAAGCACTGCCTGCTGCTGACGCTGGCAGCAAGGCGTTTGCCTCGGTACAGGACAGGGTCAATGTTGGGTTCCCATGGTAACGGTGTTCTTGAGTCGGAGAATGATGATGGAGACCACGGAGATATTCATAGCTCTGCTTCAAGCACAGCAGCAGCAGCTAGAGATTCACTGGAGCCGTGACAATCCCAACCACGATGATTCGGTAAATATTCGCCATTCAGGGCCGTGGCTCCTTTGCATCGTCTCATTTTTGCTGTTTCCTTTGCACCGTTTCTCAGTCTTCTGTCTCGTAACCATTTGGTTACCCTCCCACCGGCCTCAATGCAACGGCGCGTCATTTGCATTTAAGTTGAAATAAAACATGAAAACGCTGATGCATGTGTCCTGAGATTTGCGGATTGATATTAATCGATGAGTCGATACATGTGCTCTTTCCCTCTTTACAGCCCTAAGTCGGTGATGGTAATTCCACGTTACTATGCTGGAGGCAAGTTTATCCATAGTGGTACTATACTCAATTTTATCGACCCTGAAGGGGTGATGAACTGGGAAGCACATGCCTAGCGAGGTAGTGGGATTCTATTGTCAGCAGATTTGTGTAGGATTTCCATTGTGATTATGTGCAAGGTTGAAAACCTCTCGATGTATGTTGAAATAATTCCGCATCATACGTAGCCAACCGTGCTAACCCGAGGTGCGGGCGAAGGACAACAAACTCACCACAAAAAAAAACAACTCAAGAATTGAGTATTACATCTCGATCTAAAAGTGCAAAGCATCGCCACACCCTCCTCATGGTCGCGCGATGCAACAATCCGTCGCTCTCCCGCCCGCGAGTCGATCTCGTTGCTCCATCTCCACGGGGGTGATCCTGCAGGCTGCGCGCTCCTTGGACTGCCACTCTGTCTCCCCGCTCGAACCGTGGGCCCCATCATCCCTCCTCGCGACGTCTCCTGCCCACGACCACTTTGGTTTTATAACTTTCAGCAGGGCGTCTGTAACTCGAATGCTCTCTCATCCACACGTTCCGCTTTCCGTCTCTCCGCGTAATTCCAAGCACGCGTCTCTGCATGCTTCTTTGCACACTGCTCGGCTTTTGTTCCACCTTCCTTTGTCGGTGTCCAAGTTTCCGACGATGCATGTGCCATAGCAGACGGTATGAATTGAGGACGTTGGTCGTGTAATGTGAGATGTGGCTGTTGTAATGATCGAGGGTTAGACGATGGCTCGTAATGTGATACAGGCAAATCCCATTAGCTCCCTAGAGTTACTTGTAAACGTATGATTTTTAAGTCGACGACAGTGCAGTTACTAATACTGTACCAAGTGTCCTTATCCTGTTTGGAAAAGTACCTGAATGCAACTATTTAGAAGTCTGTAGATATGCCACTGAGGTTGGAATTTAGTGCTGTGTTTGAATTGGAAAACTTGTACAATACCATAGTTTTAACAGCCAAGTCAGAGGTCCAGTGTTCATCGTGTTCACCAGAAGAGCTTTCAGGAAAGCGTGACCCGCCACGGCGACTGTGTGTGTGGCTGGATACTGATGTCCTCCGTGAGGGTGTTGAACAAACAGCTGCACTCCTCCTCGTCGTGATGGAGTTAGGGAATGGGTCCATCAGAGCCTTCACCACCTCCCTCTGCTGACGAGGGAGTGGATGGATGTCGTAACGGCTCGTGCCTCTGCTTGTATTGAACAAATGCGGATGAAATGACGCACTCCTGGAAGGCTGTGCGGCTAATAGGATGTGCAATTATTATTGATTTTCTGCAGAGAGATATTTGGGAAGGCATAGTGTTTGCGTATTAATTTGGTCACTATCCATTATGGGCGCATTATGGATATGCAGTGCAGTATTTTGCACTTTGGTCGTCGTGCCTGATGCCCATCATCCCTGTCTACTACTCCAAGTCAGCCTGGCAGCGTTCCAGAATAGATCTCGTGAGGACTGAAGAAGCCCTGGGTGCATGCGAGGTGAAGAAACGGAGCCACCCTCTCCTCGCCGTCCCGACGGGCTGGCTGTGGGGCCCGCAGGCTGCGTCCGCTCGCACCGTGAGGGCCCCGACAAATTAAACTTGAATCGCTTTCATTCGCGATGGTTTAAAAATACACGTGGGCATAGGAGCTTACTCCCCACGTCTCCTCTCCTTCAGCTGGGGAGGACAGGGGCTGAGGCTCGGGAAGCTGCACGGCCCTTGAAGCGATGGGACGAGACGTGAACCGTGCTGGGCTGCTCCTCTCAGTTGTTGTGAATTCACTTCTCAGCCAGGGTCGTCCCAGATGTTGCTGGAATGGCCCAGCTCGGCTCTGGTTTATAATCGTCGTGGAAACGTCGAAGTTGACCTGACGCGTTGTTCAGCGCTGTGACTCGGTGTGGAGATGAGACGAGATACCCACCGATGTCTGAGAGACACGTGTTTATCACAGGCGATATCTGTCCGTAAACATAACGCCTGGGGGCTTTAGGAGCTGCAGTTAACCCTTAGCGCTGTGATTCTGCAGAGCACACATTTCCGTGGTTACCTTGTGTTCTCTGTGGACATGCACGAGAAACACGAGGTGATGAAACCGCCACGCCGAGTGATGACGCCTGGCCACGGGCGATGACGGGCAACGTCGGCCACTTTTACGTTTCTAGGATCGGGCTGCTTTGGAGGTGGCTGGTTGGCTGAGAGGTCAGAGCGCTGAGTTTGCACTGCTGACATCCAGGGTTTAATATGGGCAGCAATGTGTGACTTAGTCGATGGTCTCAGCCTGGTCACCAATCACTGCGATGAGTCCAATAAAACTACGACGTTCAATTTGGTTCTGCACTTAATTGGCAAACCCTAACCCTAATTGGCTACATTACAGCTCTGAGAATGTAAAATATCAGTGTGCCTGGCGTGTGACGAAAATTACTCTCAGTGGCACAGCAGTTGGGAACAATACTGCCCCTTCGGTGTGTGGACCAGAGATGACTTGAAGGGATCTCAGAGGTAGCTCTGGGATATCTGCTTCCGTGGTTCGTTTTCGAACGTGAAGGGTCGCAATGCTGTAGGAGAGACGTGAATTCATTATTTGTTTCGTGGCGCGATGCTGATTGCATGATCGCGATAAGAATGGAAGATATTTTTGTTACTGATTAAAATATATAGATGCGTGCCTTTCAGGTGTTCCCATTCTTCACAGTAATTGTGAATCCATGCAGAGAAACTAGAACAAAAATACACTTTGAAATATCATTCCATTCCACCTGAAGCACACCATTAAAATACTCCCGGTCGCGTGTGTTTTGGCGATGTGCACGGAACGTGCTTTGCATGCACATTACCATCGTTCCATTTTTGCTTTGCAGGTGACCTGAACTTGTCAATGGCGTCCTGAATTCGACGAACCGCACGGGTGCACGCGGTCCGGCTGGGGTGTCGATCGCGTGAACATTTGCGAAAAAGAGTCGATGCGGAGGAGCGCACGCCGAGGGTAGGAGGCAACCGGAGATCCCGTCGGCTCCCGCGCCAGCTGCCAAAGAGCGCGGCAGCGATGGCCGCAAAGGACAAGGGCAGGGGCCGCCCGGGCAGGGAGAACGACCTCTCGCTGCCCTGCTTCTACTTCGTGGAGGTGAGAGATTCGCCACCGTGGCGCCACCTCGCGTAACGAGTTCAACTGCCACGGCAGGAGATGGAATCGGTGGCCTATGCGTTGCACGTCCAGTGTGCTGACCGTTGCATCTCCCAGGGGGGATATACTCCGATGTTTAATCTTCTCTCTCGAGCGGCGGCGCTCCTTGCCCTGCTTCAAGACAGAACCCATGTCTGCCGTGGCATACATCACTGCTGTGAACTTGTTGTCCTAAATTAAACATATGTTCATGTGGCCTTGATATTTAGCATTTTGAAAGGAGTTACATCTCATTTGAATAATATATAATCGATCATTTAGGTTAGAAGAGTTTACAATTTTGATGTTAAAAGATTTGCTACACAATGTCTGACAGAAAACGGTTAATATGTCAATTAAAAGTGGCTATTTGGTTATTAAAATCTTCACACTGTTCTCAGAGTACCAGTGTTGCCTTCTGCTCTGACAAAAGGCGAGTGCCTTTAACATCAGTCGATTATAATTGCTTCTGTCACGTGGCGGTATTAATAATGAATCTGTTGCGTGTTTTTATTGACATAGCCATAAAGCCACAGGGAATTCATCCAGATGGCTCAGCAGCAGAGTGGAGCATCTCACAATCATAATTTTGCGAGTTCAAATCCTGGTTAAGGGTTGACTCAACCCATTATCCCTCTGGGGTATTTAAAATAATAATCACTTGGTGGGAAGTCAACAATGGCTGTCCTATGGATAAACTCACCCCTGCCATAAGAATGAAGAATTGCCACCACTGGCTCAGGGCTGCAACAGGAGATGAAAACTTCCTCAGTGTTAATTTGAGTAAAAAAACACTGATTTTTTTAAGCCACAGTCAGTAGCTAGAAGTCTGTTTTACTTTGACTCCCGTTAACCATCTCGTCGCCTCCACTTTATGCCAATCACTACTGCGATGCAGAATACTAATTTACCCCAATTACAACTTTAAACACTTTAGACGGATTTCCATTGATTCTTGATCAGCTTTCCTCTGTCCATTACTGTGAACTTTCTTATTCTGTTCAGTGCCTCTCCCCTCATCAGTAATAATGGCACTGGCTGGGTGTAAATGCTTACAAGGTGAACGCCAAGCCAACGGCTCACCACCGCAGTGAGCTAAACCCACAGGCAATCCCTTGCAACTTCACAAAATAAACAAGCAGACAGTACACAGCCTTCACATCTGTCCCTCCCACCAGCCACACGGAATTCTGTGTGCATTATTTGATCAGGAATACAATCAAACTGTGGACCAGTTTTGACATTTCAGTGTCTCATAAGTAGTTAGACTTGGTTGAATCAATTATGATGATGGCCAGGGGGAACCCTCAATCGGAATGTCAACTGAAGGCATCGTGGCTGTGAGTCTGGCGCAGCGCCACAGCCACCGCTGGGTTGGGTGGCCTCCCTATCATTGCCGTTGTTTTGCCCGCATTTGGAAAACAGATTATCTGTGCTCATTAAATAAAGCCGGTGAAGCGGATAATTCATGACAACACATTCCAATTTCAGGCGCGTGTGATCCCACAACACAACATTGCAATGTCAGTATAACACGACTTGACTTTAGATTTGTAATCAAACACCGCTTGAAGAAGTCAAGCTCTATAATTGTCCGCTTGTATTCTTACTGCCACAAATATTCCCAGATGTGACAACTATTGCCATAATGTGCAGGATACCAGACTTGATGGAATATTTTAATTCAATGAGGACTTTGCCAGTTTTGGTGCAGTTGATCTCGACATTCAGTTTAACTGTCTAACCATATCTAAGATAATAATTACAATAATAAGATGGTAATCTCATTTACAACCTGTGAGATAGTTTACTGATTATGTCATCAACAGGAAGGTCAGGCATTGCATCATGTCAGGTGGTATTAGGACTCCTCTGGTGTGTCTGAGCACGCCCCACACCCTTCCCCTCAATGGGGCTGCATTAATGTGGCAAGAAAGCTTGAGAGCCTTGTAGACACTGAGTGTAGAATTCCATTTGTTGGTCATTTACATTTACACAACTCTGCAAGAAGACAGACAGCACCAGAAGCGGTCGATAGTTTGAAGTTGACAATTTGTCTCCATTTACGTAGGCTGGGAATCGTCGTTGCCAGTTTCCAGGCAGTTGGAAATGAGCCGGCACTTAGCGATTGATTAAAGTTCACCAGGCAGTGGGGAGGAGACTATCGCCGCTCACGGCTTGCACAGTGACAGTTTACGGTGCTTCCAGAACTGTTTAAATTTTGAAAACTGTTTTTGGTGCATGCACGGAAATCTCTTGAGAGGTCCAGAAATGAGGGGGGGCCCCAGGCCTAGAGGATGGCAGCAGTCGCTTTTGTGGCCTCCGATCCACAACAGGGGGTGCACCCTGGCATGGCACTCAAACCACCCACTGTTGTCAAGGGTTGTGTCATGTAATCTAGATTGTGTCATGCTGTGTCCTTTGCACTATTACTGCAACAGCTCTTACCTTCAAGAACAGATGTAACATTTAGTTACACGTCTAATTTAATTGTAGTTGTTTTTGTACATTCCTTGGTGACAATCCACTTTCCTTGCGTACGGCTTCCATGGAACAACCCACCCACCTAATGCCACCCATCCACCCACCCACGGCCTTCACGTGCACGTTTGGGTCAGTACGAGGTGACGTGATTTATGATATCCGTGGTCGCACGCTGGAGAGAGACAGCCTTTGATTTTCCGCCTTTGCATGAGGCGACCATCAACTCATTGCCCTTGAGAACGAGGACTCGTCACGGGCGGCTGCCCAGATTTGACCCCACGACCCCAGCGACGGTGCCGGCTCCGTGCCCTCGCGTGGTCTTCGCCGCCGAGGGCCACTCGCCCCCCCCCCCCCACCTCTGCAGTCACTTCTCGGGGCAGTGCCGCCGCATGACGGAGCTGGCACGCATGGCGGCCACGTCAATTCCGTCCGTACTCCTCGGATGTCATCGCCTTTGAAAGCGCGCGGCAGGGTTTGTATCGGCTGTCAAGAGCAGTTGTGAACATTGATTGATGTCACCTCCTTAGAAATTGCATTCAACTGCAGCGCCACCGCTCGCAGTGTTTGTGAAGCACTGCTACAGTAGATTCCCACAGTCGTCAGCATTGCGCACACAGTTCAACTTACGTCGGGGTTTACTCTCACTGTGTTTCTAAATTACAGCAAGGCAACGGACCCATTTGTACAACAGCAATGCGATTGGCTATTGATGCGTTTACAGGCAAAGCCAGCAGGAAACCAGAGAATTGCATCGGTTCATTGCTCACCTTCGATACTCAATGCCCACAATACAAAGCGTTGACCCGTGTATGTAAAACACGTTTTTGTTTATGTCATTTTAACGCTCATTTCTATGTTGAGGCCAATAGAGCAAACTAAATTGTACAAATGAGATGGAACACAGCGAGACAAAGAAGTTGATTCTTGACTGGAATCGCGTCCCTAATTTATGACAGCTCATGGAGTCGGTGTTGGGGGCGTGGGGTGAATCGGATTTAAAATAGTTTTGCTCAATGCGTGCTGTTTCGAAACATCATGAACACATGAACACAGAATATTCACATTGCCGAGCAAGGCGCTGGTCTGGATAAAGGACGTGATGTGGAGCACAGCTCTGCAGGGCGGGCGTGTGAGCCGGTGGTGGTCGTGGTGGCACACGCATGTACTGCACACGCATGTACTGCACGGTGATCACCCGTGGCGCTCGTGGGTTTGGTCTTGTGATTTGTGAAACGCGGTTGCCCCGTGTCGAGCGAGGTGTGTTGCATCCCATGGGTTACTGTAATGAATGTGGAAACTCGGCCGATGACTTAATGAGTTTCTCAAAAATGGGACTTTAACATCATGTCTGTTCATGCAATGAAAATGGGGTTACAGAGAACAAAGCGTTAAAAAATCCAGCGAACCGAATTTATGGCCCTGGACCTTCCCACAGCAATAAACACGTCCCACATCGTGCCTCTGCCAATGGCTTTCTGCCACACTGAGCATTCATGGCCTCTATGAAGTATGAGCTGGGTTTGATGTGCGCGCCTGTAACTCAGTGACTTGGACGTGCGGGGGTTAGTGGATCACATTGAGATAGTCATTGTCGACGATGACTATCACCACCAGCGGAGCCATGAGGTGCCTGTAAGATGCAGTGCAGAAGGTAGGTTTCTGACTGTTGAGGTTGTCAGTGATTTCCTTGTGTGCATGGCTCTTTCTCGGGACATTGGATTCCCGCATAATTCAACACGGGGCCTGCAAAGCATCCCCAATGCATCCCCCTGAATGGCTGCATTTTCGCGACCATTAGACATCAGAGCAGGGCCGTGCCAGGATCGCTCTTGGTACGGCCCGGCACGGCTGTTCTCTTCCCAACGCTTGAAGGACCACGCGGACTTTTACTGTTCGCAACAATGGAACGATGCCGCCGCCATGAACCTGCGCACATTCCCCGATCCACTCGTCACTCTTCCCGTTTCCGGCATGCGTCTCTCCACCGTGCTTCTTTCCAAACTTTGCAGGTCATGTTCCATGTATTTGTTTGTCAATGACTGTGTGTCTGAAGCATGCATTAGAGAAAGTAGCGCCAATTGAGTTAACTATAATAACAATCATCTTATACTGCGCTCTAACTGGTTGGTCTTCGTTCACGCTGTGCCATGCGGCCGCGTAGTGATGACCTTGGTCTCGTTTCGGAGTGCGAAATTACAGCCACGGCCACGCACTGTACATCGACCGAGCATTGTACACACACCAACAGAGGTTAAAATCTACACCAATTCAATTTTACACCATCAAGTAAAACCGCATCCTCACCCAGTTATTGATTTTGTAAAGACAGCCATTTCATTTTGAAACCCAGACGAGTAACCACGCGTTTAACAGCCTTGGTTCGCTTTGCCGAGCCCACGTGTGGTATCCTGCAGATGTTTCAATAAATTGTGACGATTTAATTCGGTTATCTTGCTTTTACAAACACAGTCTCTGTTTTCACTTCATACAGCGTAGGGTTGCCACCTTTAATTCGGACCGTCCAGGAATTGGCATCTGTGCTGGAGTGGCAGGAATTGATTTCTCCCGTGAGCTGGTGGTTTTATTGCATTCGAATTTTTACCGCAGAGGACTGCATGGTTTTAATCAACCTGGGCTGGCTGAGAAACGTGTCCGGGTTTAGTGGTGGGTATAGTACAGCATCAACACATGAAGTCACCCTGAGATGCCTTACTCGCGGTCATAAAAACACAGTCGACGAAGGGTAGTGAGGAATGACCATCTCGTAACATTCGGTTCGATGCATTCACTCTGTGCCAAACGATTATAAGGAGGTCCACCTCTCTGACCAAGTGTCACTCGCGGTGGACCAGTGGTAGCGCGTTCGCCGCTCGTTGAAGAGGTTCGTGGTTTAAATCCGGCAGGCTGCCCTGGTTAATACTGCTGTGGGTGCATTAACAATAGACTACGCTTCCGCCTGCTTCACAACTAGTCGGGATTATGTGTTCGCGTCTTTGTCCAAATTTCCCAAAGTCGACAAATATCACTGCAATTTACTCAACTGGGATTACACACACAGCAGCAGGAACCATCGCTCACAATCCTCGCTCACAATCCCCGCTTGCAGGCCAGATGCTGAGTCACCTCGTGCCATGGGTGCCCTTTCCCATGGTTGAGATGAGATGTGATGTAAGTCGCTTGTCACGTGAAAAACGCCCCAGTGGAAAAGGATCTCTGTCAAAAACAAAAAACCATCGTCGTCTTCATTACTATTATTATTACTACCACCCCTGACAGCCTCAACGTTTGCCGTTGTCTCCCAAAGGTGCCGATCATCGCCGCAGCCGTAGTGTCGCTCTACTTCCTGGAGCTGACCAACGTGTTCGTGCCGGCGCACGTCGGCTTCCAGTGCCACGAGCGCGGCCTCAGCCTGCCCTACGTGGAGCCGGCGCGGGAGACGGTGCCGCTGCTCATGCTCTTCAGCCTCGCCTTCGCCGTGCCCTCAGCCACCGTGAGCGCGCCCCCCGCGCCTGTGCTACAATAGGAGCATTGCACACGTTTATTAGGGGCGCCACGGGAGCGAGATGTTCGATCCCAACCCTGACTCCCGAGTATTTGGAGTTTGCGTGTCTCTCTCTCCCCGTGGTCACGTGGATGTTTCTCCGGATCCTCCGGTTTTTCCACCCACATTTATAAACATGCGTTTAGAGTAATTGTGATATAAATATCCACACGATAAGACACTATCATTTGTTGCCAGGTAGCTTCTGAACAAGAGCTATATAGCTTAGTGGGCCTTATTTCCTGGTGAATAGAAAATAGAATTAGTAAAATAGCAATATTTCATTCATCATCACGGTCACATCGTGAACGGATCGTGATGAATAGTAAATGCAGATTGGATGCTAATGAGGGTATTGAAGTTAATGGGGTGGATAAAACTGTACAAATTGCACAAAAATGAGAAACGGAATCGATGTGACCATAAAGACGAGACAAAAGGAATTGAGCCTTGCAACGCAACCCCCAGGTTGAGACAATTCATCAAATCGCTTGGGCGGATGCAGGGGTGGACGAATGGTTTCTTAGTACGTTTCAAGTATTGCAAAACATATACAGCAACCATTCCTGGTTGGACGAAGTTTAGTGCTTGTTTGCAATCTGTCTGCACTTGGCCTGTACGAGCTTGCAGCACAGATGTGCACTGTGCAGTTTTGGCGTGGGTTTATGCACACGGTAAGCATGCCAGCGCATGTGCCAATGCAAATGAGGTGCCTGGGTTAAAATGCAAATGCACGTCGCTTGCACCCAGCTGCACCCACGTGGAACTGCCCATTGGAGAACCGCGTCAGCACAGTTCTCATTATCTTCTGCCGCGTCTGCGCGGTTGTAGCGAGATGCTGCCACCGAAGTAGCGGCGTGACGGACAGCACACCGGACTCGCAATCCAGAGGTCACTGGTTCAATCTCCTGGCGCGGCGGTTGAATCGATGGCCACATTTCTTAAATCGGCCACCCTTCGTCCACTGTGCGGTATAAATGGGTTTGATCCAGGGTCGGTCGATAGGCAGGTTCCGTGCGGTGGTACTTATCCTGATGAGAATAGGCAGAACTTGGACAGTGCATCCACGAAACATGGCTCAGGTTCTCTGTAAATGGGGCCTACCGACTCGAGAGCAGCTGTGGAAACGATCCTCTGCTTCCCCTGTGGTTTACAGATCATGATTGGAGAGGGGATTGTCTTCTGCTGCCTGTGCAGGCGGCAAGGTTCGTCGGCCGACGCCAGTGGAGCCGTCATCGGCTGCAACTTCAGCTCATACCTGCGCCGTGCCGTCCGCTTCGTGGGTACGGCAGTGGCACAAAGTGCCCGTGCGGCGTTGTTTCAGTGTGGACCTCACTATGAACCAGTGCACCTTAGCTCTAACGAGGCGTGAAAGAGTAGGCCCATTACCCTCCGGAGCGGTTCACCAGAGCTGCTACAGTGGAGACCCTTCCGCCAGCAGTGGCGCAAGCGAAATATTGCAGGGCTGCGCCTTTGCCAATATAAAACAGAAGACCTAACGAGACCCTAATGCCAACACGAACAAAGAGCCACATCTCATTCATAGCGGTAAAAAAGTTAAAGATATTCTCGGCTGACAGCCATTAAGGTTGCATTAGGCCTATTCCATTCATCAATACAGTAGCTCCATCTCACCCTGCTGATTTTATGACCGAAAGATGATGTTTAAAGTGAAACAGCTTATCTATCGCAACATTTTTATTTTGAGAATTATTCTTCAACTTAGCAGCGAGCTGAGACAGTAAGAATGTGCGCTTTGATAAACGCTCACGTGCGTGACGATTGAATTTGTGTGGCTCTTGTCGGATGGTGGAGGGTTACCCGACAATAATTTGGCCGGATCGTTCCACGTGACCTAACCCAAGAATGACCGATGACTCCTCGCCCTGCTCCCGTGCGATGATTCTGTGTGTGGCCCCGGCGGGCAGGAGTGCACGTGTTCGGGCTGTGCGCGGCGCTGCTCGTGGCCGACATCCTGCAGCTGTCCACGGGGTTCCACGCGCCGTACTTCCTCACGGTGTGCAAGCCCAACTACACGCTGCTCAACACGAGCTGCGACGAGAGCCCCTACGTCATGCAGGACATCTGCACGGGCCAGGACGCCAACGCCATCAGCGCCGGCAGGTGACGTCCACGCCCCCGCGTGCCGCACCACGACGCACCAGACGCACCACGCCGCACCAGACGCACCATGCCGCGCCAGACGCACCACGCCGCACCACGCCGCACCACGCCGCACCAGACGCACCACGCCGCACCACGCCGCACCACGCCGCACCAGACGCACCACGCCGCACCACGCCGCACCACGCCACACCAGACGCACCACGCCACACCACGCCGCACCACGCCGCACCAGACGCATCATGCCGCACCACGCCGCACCACGCCACACCACGCCGCACCACGACGCGCCAGCGAGTGACCCTCCCTCGCGTCTGCGGGTCGTGCCGCACGCCAACGTGTGCTGGGAGCTTTTTCAGCTGAAGGTGTTGCGCCCCATGCGTTGGCAGCCAAAAGGGAGAAACGTCATGGAAATCGTGTCAAACGACCCGAACAAACATCGGGCAGCTGCGCTGTGTTTAACCCGTCCAGCCGTCCATACGACTGCTTCACGACTTCTGTGAAACTGATCCTCGTGTCTTGGGGATCGTGCAGAACCCTGGAGAGATCAACCGCAAACGGAGTGCCACTTACGCTGTGCATAAGTAAAGTGCAGCCCTGAAATGGCTCGATTAATGCCACCGCTAGCAGAAGGGCCTACTCGAGAGGAAGCTCTAGACAGGGTATCTTATTTGACTCTTGCACACTGAGCAGACGCCTTGGAAGAAGTGGGAGTACCCACACTTTACCCCACCACACACCACCTGTGGATCGACTGTCGGGTACCCATTTACACCGCTCAACCACCTCAGAGTAAAATTTCAGTTGTTGCTCTACATCAGCATCAGCCACACGAAGACACAGATTCCCAGATAGTAATGGGAAAATAATCCATGCTGCGGAGCATGCTCAGAGTGTGAGTTTTCCTTGGTGAGTGATGGGGCGATATCCGCACGCCGGAGGGTGACGAATGTTCAATGCCAGGCGATCGTTCGTGATGTTTCCAGGAGTGATTGCCTCACCCCGTGTTGTTAACGGCCAACTCGGAATGTGTCGTTCACAGGAAGACGTTCCCATCGGAGCACGCGACCATCGCTGCCTTTGCCGCCATCTACATTTCTGTAAGTTCCTTTCCTCACCTCGCTCCTGGAATTTAAAATATATTTTCAGATTACTTGCAGAAATTTTTATATAATTTTTCTTGTTATAAAAATGGAGGTAGGAAATCATAGGCAACATCTCTAAATGGCCACAAAGCGAATCTGTTGTAATTATTAGAAGAACAATATTATTGCGGTTCAATTTCACAGTCCACCTTCTTCTTGACCAAGCCCTATTGCTGAATTCTTTTCACGCTGATTTTTTCTACAATGCAATTCCGTTCATGTGGAGATCTGTACGTTTGGTAGCCACTGCATCAGCTAGCTGGGTTAGGGAATTAATCCCAGGAGCTGGGTTAATTTCCTGACTTGGGTGCCTTTCTGTTATGAGTTTATATGTTCTCCCCTTATTCTGCACCGTGTGGCGTTTGTCGTGTAACGGTTTAGTGTGCTGCGGTATGAACCCAGCCACCTGAGGTTCAATTCCCGCTCATGACCAATGACAGTGACAGCTAATATGTAAACCAGGGCTTTCACGAGGTTGACTCCGCCTCGAACGAGTACCACGTGCAGTGTGTACACATCGGAATTGGGGAGACGAAGGCGGCCGGGCGTGGCGCTGGCAACCCACCCCCTCGTGTGCCATGCCGGGCTTCACAGGTGCTCGCTGACTGCGCTTGCCCCAACGGTCTCTTAAGGCTACACGGGGGACCTTTGTCTCTCGGAGTTTGCGTGCTCCCCCGCCGTTGGGTATGCGTGACGCGAGCGTAAACGTTTGGTACGAACGCATCGCGGTGTCCGCTACGTGCTCCACGGCAGATCTACTTCAACTCGGTGGTGAGCAACTCCAGCAAGCTGCTCAAGCCGCTGCTCATGTTCGCATTCGAGCTGAGCGCCGGCGTGTGCGGCCTCACGCGCGTCGTGCAGCACAAGAGTCACCCCGGCGACGTCTACGCCGGCTTCCTGCTGGGCACCGCCATCGCCTGGTACCTGGTGCGTCGCCCACGCTCCCTCCTCCTCCTCCTGACTCATTCCTCCTCCCTCCTCCGTCCTCCACATTCCTAGAGCAGGAGAGCTCGTCCCTGGCACAACCAATGATGATTTCTCCCACGAAGTGGTGGATATTTTATCGACTCCAACAGGAATTGAACTCGAAACCTTCTGATTATGAGCCACTCGCTCTACTGCTGAGCAACCTGCCTGGACTTTATCACTCATTGTAATCATTGAATCACTTAAGAACGGCGTTGCAACAAAATTCGGTGTTATAGTTGCTTGCATTGCATTGTTTTTTTTCCAGGGATATCATGCGGTGGATAACTTTGAAATGAAGGAGAGGAAACTACATTACCAGACGCGGCTGAAGGAAGCACAAAACCGCAACGTCTCGTCAAAGCTAGGCCGCAAGATGAGCCTGCATCGCCAGGATTCGGGCATGAATGGCTTGGGCAGTGACTCTGAGGCCGCCCGTCGCCAGCCGGACGTCACGCTGAGCCGCAGCCACAGCGAGAACGCCTCCGTGCGGGCGCTCAACCACCGCGCGAGCGGCAGCAGCGAGGACATGGAGATCCTGCCCACGCGCCACCCCATGGGCAAGGAGAGCATGGTGACCTTCAGCAACACGCTGCCCAGGGCCAGCGCCCAGCCGCCCGCGGCGGCCGGCGTCGAGGACGTCGCGCGGCGTCACGTCGTGGTGCACGCCGCCACTGACCCCGGCCGGGCCAAGCAGAAGGTCGACCCCTGGAGGCCGAAGGCGGAGGGTTCCAAAGTGCCGACGAGGCAGCAGCGGCAGGAGGACTGCGCGGCGGAGGCGCAGAGGGCGTTCGACGTGCGGACTTCCTCTGAGCACCCGTGCCTGACAATGGGGGTTGCGGACGTGGCACCCAAGACCGGCGTGTACCTCAACGTGCAGGCCAGCGGTGGGGGTCCCGCGGCGGCGGCCGCTTTGGCCCAGCAGCAGCAGCAGCAGCAGCTGGTGCACATCCCTGAAGAGACGCCGGTAAGCCCCCACACCTCCCCCAAGGGCAGCTCGGCCCGGGCCAAGTGGCTGATGATGGCAGAGAAGGGCGGCGCAAAGCGCGGCACGCAAAGCGGCCAACCTCGTCTCATCCAGGTCATCAACATGTCCAAGCAGCAGGGCCTCCTACAGGCCAAGGCCAAGCAGGCAGCGGACCCCGCTCCTGTGGGCTGCGCGGGGGGGCCAGTGCGCTACAAGAATCTGCCCGAGCAACTTCCAGTCGGAGCGGCGGCGGCGCCTTTGGCGTCCACGTCTGCCGGTGGTGATGGGGGGGACCGGGCCCGGTCGCTCGTTCACGTTTCTGCGAATGACGGCGTCACAAGCTCCTGGAAATGGAAGCCTTCCCCGCAGGACCCTGAATCGTACGAGCTGAATGATCTTGGTCGTCACATGGAGCCCGGCGACGAGGAACGAATGCCCACTCCGCATTCCCACAGCAACTCGGATCTGGACGAGGTGCCCTACTGCAGCCCTTCCGGTGTGAACGCGGGACCTATGCTGGGAACCAAGGTGGCCCTCGGCGAGCTGAGTGAACTGGCGCCGCCGGAGCCTCTGTCCCTTCCCTCCAGCCGTGACTCTACTCTGCGCAGGAAGCCTTCGACCATCCTCGTGCCAGAGCGATCCAACAACCTGGAGAACACACGGAATGTATTCTACAAAGGAACGTCTTCTTCCAGGGGCTACAAAGACTGATCTACATTTGGAGCCCGCAGTGGTTATCAGGAGCAGCGTAAGTCGAATAGAAGGCGTGTGCCAGTCATCACACCAACCCTAACATTGCTTGTGACGAAACTCCATTCCATAACATCAACGTGTGGTTGAAAAATAACATTTAACCGCCCTTAGACATGAATGCAGTGTTGATGGTCAGAGATGCAGAGTGGATCCTGAGAAATGTAGAAGGCCGGACCAACTCGAGTAGTCTCTTGAGACGAGAGAGGAGGCATTCACCAGGAACTCGTGAGCACGTGGAACATGTTTTAGGATCTAAGGTGTGTTGATAATCCTAGTACAGGCCTTCCATTAGTCACATTTGTGAAACCATTTTTAACTTCAACTCACTCTCCCTACTAACTATAAAATATAATCATTCTCAGATGTGGTGATGGCTTTACAGCTGCACTGTGGATGGTCCCGTGAGATTTGTACAGCACAACTCTAATGAGAAGCACAGGTTCGGGCACTCATGAGGCTGAACGGGATATTTTTTAACCTTGCCATTTATATGTTTTATATATACAGTTAACTTGTTTCACTATAAAGCACACTCCGTGGGGGTTGTTAAGGAATGGTCTACGCGAGTGTTCCGCTTCGCTTACCTGCTCCGAGGTGCGGAAGCGCTGGTGAAGTAAAAAAGAACCATGAGCAGCAAGGTGCGGGGAAGCCTTCATCCAACAGGGGATTGACAGTCTGGATATGATTTGTTATTTGTGAAGATAATTGTTGAATCTGAAGGTAATGTGAGAAGAGAATGCTGTGCGATTGTTCAACTGGGAGAAATCCTCACCGTCCCACTTGCCTCCCGATGGCCGCGTCGTAGGGACACCGGGCACGCTTCGTGTTGTGTGGTCACCGACCGCTGTGAGCACGGCTGTCCGTCGGTAAACGTACAGCCAAACTCACATCCCGCCGAGGAATGAAATCGACAAAAAGTGACGAGATGAGTTTTCTGGGGATGGCCACGAACTTGTTGGCTGTTGCGTGTTGGGGCCGCGGTCTCCCAGCTGGTCATCACGCTCCACCGTCCCCGAAATCACACGTGGCGTTAGAACTGGGTCAGCACGTTGTGGTTAAACGGACTCAGTAACATCCGCACATTGCGGTTAAAAGAGGCTCTCATTTTAACCGACCATTGTTTTGTTAATGTAGTCCGCTTGTAAATGATCGTGCAGTCGCACGATCAAAATCGAATGTGGAAGCAGAATTTAAACACTTTCTTCTGACCTCTACAACATGTGCGAAAAACACAGGGCCCTCTAAAGCACCGCGTACTGTGTAAATGGCCACACACTGAGCTGGTTGTGTAGCCATTGGGGGCCAGTTACTGTGACCTCGCGGGGGAAATGCATAACACCTTTTGCAATCATCGACATAAAGTATCCACAAACTCCCCTTCTTAAAACAGTTCAAGTTAGTTTCCGTTTGTAGAACTTGCTGTCGAGTCATGGCACCAGTGTGACAATGTCAATGGATGTGGAGCCAATCACCGATTCTTGTACAATAGCCAATAGCATTGTCCACTTGTACATGGCACCTACAGCCATATCAGCTCTGAATACGAAGCATCAGGGATCTGTGTGCAGTATATGGGAGCGCACTCTACATGTTAGAGTCGTCACAGAAGAAACAACGAGTTACTCTCTTAAAGAAACTCGGAGTAGCCCCATGGCTCTCTCTCTCTCTGCTGTTTCATGCTTTGCAGTTTTGTAGATTGCTAACTAAAGTGAAACTCGATTACTCACGAGGCCATTCACACCCGGGGCCTCGTAGCGCTCCACATACACAGCTCAACCCTTAACCACCCTGAACAGGTATAGCGGAATAAAACTTAAAAACATACTCCACCTACGCAGAGGATATACAGGTGAAAACAAATCTGTTTTAAGATGGGACCGAAAGAATGAAGCCACTGAGAGTCTCGAATTGTTCTGGGAACGAGGTCCCCACAGCTGAATTGCCACCTAAGCCTCGAGTGTTCTCATCGAACTTGTTGAGGTCATTTTCGTGATGGTTTTGTCCGGCAGCCTCTCTGGCTTCCTCGAGTCTATCTTCAAGAGGCTTCACTCCTTGTCAATTCAACACTGTTCACCAGTTATCATTTCAAATATTCTCAGGCCCCCAGAGTATAACGCGTAATCTCCATCGATCAGACAGTCACACTCTCCCCGCCCTCTCCCACTGAAGAAGGGGCATTGTCTGAAATGTCAGGCTGCGATAGCACAGTGTTAACGATGATTTTTGCGAGTGTTTTTTGTGCGTGTGCGGCACAGCCAACGCGGTCTGTGGACCTGTTTGGTGGACGCGTGTTTGTCTCGAACACGGCGGCTACTTGTGGGATATTGCAAATAGCAGCAGATTATCAACAAAATATGTCACTCGAAGCCACTTAAATATGTAGTGCATGGCCCAGAAATTATTATGAAATCGACTTCACAGATTGAAAGTTACCATTTGGCACCGTGATATAACACTGCCTCGCAGTATACCATATGCAGTATTGGTACTTTGGTTTTCAACCAAGTGGAATGTGCGATATTTGTAATATGGCATGTATAAGACTTACTGCTTAGTTTAAACTCCACATAACCATTTCAAAAGACAAGTCTGTTGGCAATGTAAGATGAGATGGACAGTTATGGCAGCCAGCTCGGTCTGACAACGCCAGACCCAATCGGCCGTAACCCTGCCCCACTGCTCTTACATCCACAATGCATCACCACCAACCCAATATGTATCATTCTTCGAGATGCAATTTAGCCAAATTAAGTGTAGAAGCAACTTTAATGTGAGCCTTTTGTTTCTGCAGTGATTGGTGACTAGGGACATTAATGCATGACATTTGACGTCCCAGTTTAATCAGAGGCGGCTGCCCAGATTTCAACTTAAAATCTCAGCTCCATCGCTTCTGCAAATCTTCTCTCACCCACAGGACGCCCAGCCGTGTACGGGCAGGCGCTCCGCCGACCGTTAACTCTTAGACTACACAAACAGTGGTGACTGAGAGGATAATGCAACAATCATTGTAATAGCAGCAGGTGAGTGGGTCTGGGCAGGGCCCATTGTGGGTGAGACTGGTGATGAAGGGACGGTGGGTGAGACTGGTGATGAAGGGATGGTGGGTGAGACTGGTGGTGAAGGAATGATGGGTGAGACTGGTGATGAAGGGACGGTGGGTGAGACTGGTTGTGAAGGGATGGTGGGTGAGACTGGTGATGAAGGGATGGTGGGTGAGACTGGTGATGAAGGGATGGTGGGTGCGACTGATGATGAAGGAATGGTGGGTGAGACTGGTGATGAAGGGACGGTGGGTGAGACTGGTTGTGAAGGGATGGTGGGTGAGACTGGTGGTGAAGGAATGGTGGGTGAGACTGGTTGTGAAGGGATGGTGGGTGAGACGGGTGGTGAAGGAATGGTGGGTGAGACTGGTGGTGAAGGGATGGTGGGTGAGACTGGTGATGAAGGAATGGTGGGTGAGACTGGTGATAAAGGGATGGTGGGTGCGACTGGTGAAGGAATGGTGGGTGAGACTGGTGATGAAGGGACGGTGGGTGAGACTGGTGATGAAGGGATGGTGGGTGAGACTGGTGGTGAAGGGATGGTGGGTGAGACTGGTGATGAAGGGACGGTGGGTGAGACTGGTGATGAAGGGACGGTGGGAGAGACTGGTTGTGAAGGGATGGTGGGTGAGACTGGAGATGAAGGGATGGTGGGTGAGACTGGTGATGAAGGAATGGTGGGTGAGACTGGAGATGAAGGGATGGTGGGTGAGACTGGTGATGAAGGAATGGTGGGTGAGACTGGTGATGAAGGGATGGAGTAGAGGTGGAAACTCCCAGCGGCCCTGTGTCATACTGATCAGAAAGAAAGTTGTTATAGTCAGGCCATTTAACAGTGAGTGGTTGAGCTTAGTTTCAGTGAAGATTATTTGTATTGGGCTGTGTGCACTCACGTGTGACAGAGCAAGCCAGGCGGCGGTAATCGATGGGGGTATTTTATTACGTGATTACACACGCGGTGCTTAATGCGCAAGTCCTCTGCATCCTATCTCTATATTTTTGATGATTTTACCTTCAGGATGTGAACATATATATAACTTCTAAACGACAACTACATTTTCAAGACGTTGGCAGTTATTAAGGAATACACGTTAACAGAAAGCGATGTTCTCTTACAGATGAAAAGGCCTCGTGTTTAAACCATGCCTCCAATCCGGGAGGAAGATGTTTCATGTCGTGAAGCCGTTGAGGGGGGTGCCTCGTGTCCCACACGAACGCAGCGCTTTACACGTCACGAGTGATTTGTCATCACCCACTGATTATTGTTTCTGAACAATTGACAGTTCAATGTGCAGGGCGAGTTGCAAGACCTCAACAGCACAAATGTAAAAGCCATAAGCAAGACTCTTCACAGAATCCACAACTCCTAATTCTAACCCGTCGTTTTGGATGGACTCCTGTCGAGAATGGCGTCTGTGCTAGATTAGGGACAACACGTCGAGACCTCTCTCAACCTTGTGCATCACTGCGATCCACTTGTGATCGATCTCAACCTTGTGCATCACTGCGATCCACTTGTGATCGATCTCAACCTTGTGCATCACTGCGATCCACTTGTGATCGATCTCAACCTTGTGCATCACTGCGATCCACTTGTGATCGATCTCAACCTTGTACATCACTGCGATCCACTTGTGATCGATCTCAACCTTGTGCTTCACTAGGATCCACTTGTGATCGATCTCAACCTTGTGCATCACTGCGATCCACTTGTGATCGATCTCAACCTTGTACATCACTAGGATCCACTTGTGATCGATCTCCACCTTGTGCATCACTGCGATCCACTTGTGATCGATCTCAACCTTGTGCATCACTGCGATCCACTTGTGATCGATCTCAACCTTGTGCTTCACTAGGATCCACTTGTGATCGATCTCAACCTTGTGCTTCACTAGGAACCACTTCTGATCGATCTCAACCTTGTGTATCACTAGGATCCACTTGTGATCGATCTCAACCTTGTACATCACTAGGATCCACTTGTGATCGATCTCAACCTTGTGCATCACTGCGATCCACTTGTGATCGATCTCAACCTTGTGTATCACTAGGATCCACTTGTGATCGATCTCAACCTTGTGCATCACTGCGATCCACTTGTGATCGATCTCAACCTTGTGCTTCACTAGGATCCACTTGTGATCGATCTCAACCTTGTGCTTCACTAGGATCCACTTGTGATCGATCTCAACCTTGTGCTTCACTAGGAACCACTTCTGATCGATCTCAACCTTGTGTATCACTAGGATCCACTTGTGATCGATCTCAACCTTGTACATCACTAGGATCCACTTGTGATCGATCTCAACCTTGTGCATCACTGCGATCCACTTGTGATCGATCTCAACCTTGTACATCACTAGGATCCGCTTGTGATCGATCTCAACCTTGTGCATCACTGCGATCCACTTGTGATCGATCTCAACCTTGTACATCACTGCGATCCACTTGTGATCGATCTCAACCTTGTGCATCACTGCGATCCACTTGTGATCGATCTCAACCTTGTATATCACTAGGATCCACTTCTGATTGATCTCAACCTTGTGCATCACTGCGATCCACTTGTGATCGATCTCAACCTTGTACATCACTAGGATCCACTTGTGATCGATCTCAACCTTGTGTTTCACTAGGATCCACTTGTGATCGATCTCAACCTTGTACATCACTAGGATCCACTTCTGATTGATCTCAACCTTGTGCATCACTGCGATCCACTTGTGATCGATCTCAACCTTGTACATCACTAGGATCCACTTGTGATCGATCTCAACCTTGTGTTTCACTAGGATCCACTTGTGATCGATCTCAACCTTGTACATCACTAGGATCCACTTGTGATCGATCTCAACCTTGTGCATGACTAAGATCCACTTGTGATCGATCTCAACCTTGTGCATCACTAGGATCCACTTCTGATCGATCTCAACCTTGTGTATCACTATGATCCACTTCTGATCGATCTCAACCTTGTACATCACTGCGATCCACTTCTGATCGATCTCAACCTTGTACATCACTATGATCCACTTCTGATCGATCTCAACCTTGTACATCACTGCGATCCACTTCTGATCGATCTCAACCTTGTACATCACTGCGATCCACTTCTGATCGATCTCAACCTTGTACATCACTAGGATCCACTTCTGATCGATCTCAACCTTGTGTATCACTAGGATCCACTTCTGATCGATCTCAACCTTGTACATCACTGCGATCCACTTCTGATCGATCTCAACCTTGTACATCACTAGGATCCACTTCTGATCGATCTCAAACTTGTACATCACTAGGATCCACTTGTGATCGATCTCAACCTTGTACATCACTGCGATCCACTTCTGATCGATCTCAAACTTGTGCATCACTGGGATCCACTTGTGATCGATCTCAACCTTGTACATCACTGCGATCCACTTCTGATCGATCTCAACCTTGTGCATCACTAGGATACACTTGTGATCGATCTCAACCTTGTACATCACTAGGATCCACTTCTAATCGATCTCAACCTTGTGCATCACTGCGATCCACTTCTGATCGATCTCAACCTTGTACATCACTGCGATCCACTTGTGATCGATCTCAACCTTGTACATCACTAGGATCCACTTGTGATCGATCTCAACCTTGTACATCATTGCGATCCACTTGTGATCGATCTCAACCTTGTACATCACTAGGATCCACTTGTGATCGATCTCAAGCTTGTGCATCACTAAGATCCACTTGTGATCGATCTCAACCTTGTGCATCACTGCGATCCACTTCTGATCAATCTCAACCTTGTACATCACTGCGATCCACTTGTGATCGATCTCAAGCTTGTGCATCACTAGGATCCACTTGTGATCGATCTCAACCTTGTACATCACTAGGATCCACTTCTGATAGATCTCAACCTTGTGCATCACTGCGATCCACTTGTGATCGATCTCAACCTTGTGCATCACTAGGATCCACTTGTGATCGATCTCAACCTTGTACATCACTAGGATCCACTTCTGATCGATCTCAACCTTGTGTATCACTAGGATCCACTTGTGATCGATCTCAACCTTGTACATCACTGTGATCCACTTGTGATCGATCTCAACCTTGTGCATCATTAGGATCCACTTGTGATCGATCTCAACCTTGTACATCACTACGATCCACTTGTGATCGATCTCAACCTTGTACATCACTAGGATCCACTTGTGATCGATCTCAACCTTGTACATCACTGCGATCCACTTGTGATCGATCTCAACCTTGTACATCACTAGGATCCACTTCTGATCGATCTCAACCTTGTGCATCACTAGGATCCACTTGTGATCGATCTCAACCTTGTACATCACTGCGATGCACTCCACTTTATACCCAAGCAGGGGGCGCAACGACCGATTGCAAGGGGGGCGGCTGGGGGGGGGCGGCTGTGCAAGATCCGACTGTGGGCCCCCATCCTCTCTCCCGACTCACTTTTTACTGAATTAGCTGCAGATGTTTTAACACGTCGGCTATAACGTTTTCTATGATCAGTTTAACACGTAGGCTTTCGCGACCAATATCATTCATAGTAAAAGTTTTTGGGTTAGATCGCATAAGTATAGTCAGTCTCCTATTGACGGTATTAATAAAACATTTAAGGCTACAATACTCGCAATTGAGTTCCCCGTGCCGGCCAATCGCTCTAAGATTTCCTGTTAGGAGGTGGATCGCGCAACGTTATGCGGCTCTATTGATGGGATAGCCGAATGTGTCAATCATCGGGCTTGGTCCATGGTAGACAGCAGATAATTTTTCATGATACATTCTTTTTTTCTTAACATTTGTGTTACTTGATTAGGGGCCCCCTTATGGCCGACTGGACCCCGAAGCGTCGCATGCCCCCTGATAGCTGCGCCCCTGTACCCAAGCAAACCTTGTGGCGGGACCCCGGGGTCCCGAATAAACGGAAGTCAAAATCATAATAAGTTTATTGATTTGTGGCGACTCCGTCCCACCGCGTACATCAACGCCGCGACCCACCTGGCGCTGATCGTTCTGTTGTCGTGCACAAGAGCTGAACAAGCGAACGCATCATCATCAAGCAAACGTACTCCATGCTCGGGTAGGGCAGGATCATAACAAGTCTTATCCAAAGCAGCTCAAACTGCCTACACGACTTAAGTCCTTAATATGGCATAACGGTATGCATAATACAGTGAAACTGCCATCTTATCTTTATTATTATTTATAACCTACCAATGTCTGCAGCCAGGATCAATCGATGACAATCCTATTACCTGCAGATATTTAACAGGTGAGATGCGTTGCACCGTTAATTCCTCCTGTTTGCTAATACTTATCTTGTCCGTATGTAGCTGTGCAGATAGGTTTTTGTTTGCGGGTTAAGCCATAGTCCCCACATACCGCTCGTATCAATGCGGATAAGAGGAGCGGTGACCCAC